CCGGTCCGGCTTGCTGCAGGCCTGGCAGGGTGATGGCCCTCCGTGTGCTCACGCACACTCACACACACCAGGCCATAGAAACAAAGGAAAACCTGGTGAACCCTCAGAAAAGCAGGTTTCTTAGCAACTTCCCAGCTTTTGTTCACGAGCCACTTGGAATTGAAGTAGCATCTGATCTCCTGCCGGCTCCTGCCTGGGGACGGGAGGAAGGGGATGATGGGTCTGCCTTCGCCAGAGCTGAGCGCTAAGCTCCCCCACCATTGGCCTCTCAGCCTGAGAAGCTGAGGCCTGAATCCTGGGGGTGTCCGCAATCTGGGAAAAGTCCCTGCGACAGTTTCTTCACAGCTACAGCTGCAAAATCCCAGGACTTGGTCATTCAGATGACAAATGCGTACGGAAATATATACTGTGGGCCCCTGGCGCTCCACGCTCTGCGCCACAGCAGTTGGCCCCAGCTCTGTCCTCAGCCCTGGAGACACAGAGGTGAGTAAGGTGAGTAAGGGAAAATCAGTGACCTCTTTAGCCTAGTGATGAGCACGAACAAGGGCCCAGTGACGCCTCATTACTGCTGCACTGCTTGTAGCTTTACCCCAGGCCTCTAGGATAAAACGGAAACTTCTTAGCCGGGTCCTAACAGTCCTTCCAGGCTGGCCCCTGCCTGCTTCTCCATCACCTCCCCCACAGGGCTCAGGTCCCCACAGGCCAAGTCCTTCTCACCTCCAGACCCCTGCTGGTCCCTCCACTTGGAGTATTCTCTGTCCACTTGGCAGCCTCTTTCCAGACTTTGAGTCCTAGCTTAGCTGTCCCCTCCCCCAAGAAGCTTCCAGCCCACCCTGTCAAGAATAGACCTCCCACACACATCATTCTCCGTCATGCTGAGCACCTCTGTAGCCTCCTTGATGGCACTCATCCTGATATACAGTCCATTCCCTTTGTTCACAGTAGTTATGTTCTATCATGTCACCGGGAACACTGACTTAGCAAATATTGAACCACACCCCTAGGGCAAGTACACAGGTGAGCTCCTGCGAGCCTCCGCTCACAACATTTTCATCAAACCGTCAATATATAACTTTGTTTTACGTGCATCTCTGTTTAAAGACACCTTATTTAATATAGGTCATTAATTTGTCAATATCGAACTCAGGGCCAACACTAGAACTAATGCCTCAATGAAACTTACCTAACAAACAAACGTTCTTCATAGGCACATCTTAGTGCTTAGGAACACTCTACAGCACCTCAGCACTATGCCTGGGGGCATTTTCAACCACAGTCACCAACAAAAAGCACAAAAATATGTAAAAGGTGACACTACATAGCCCACGAAAAGTAGACTTGTTTAAAGCATGAGCGCTAAATGGACCTCCGCTGGGAACATGCACATTGGGTGACTCAGGTTCTTCTCCACTCTACACATGCATGTGTCTGCAAGTGACCTCAGATGTGCCTTGAGTATTGGCTTTGAGATTACAGATGTATTTTGGTGAGTAGGCACATTTGCAAATACAAAATCAGTGTCTGGGGCGCCTAGGTGGCGCAGTCAGTTAAGGGTCTGCCTTCGGCTCAGGTCAGGACTGAGTCCTGGAATCCAGCGCTGAGTCAGGCTTCCTGCTCAGCGGGGAGCCTGCTTCTCCCTCTTCCTCTGCCCCTACCCCTTGCTTGTGCACTCTCTCTCTCAAGTAAATACATATCTTAAAAAAAAAAAGGAGAGAAATTTTTGTTTTGTGAAACTGACTAATAACCCTTACTACTTATGTAACCATTAGCTACATATTTAGTTAAGGCCAAAACTAAACAGCTTTCTGGGGCTGACTTTTCCTGACTAAACTCACAAAAGACTGATACATGAATCAAAAGTTGTTCATTTTTTTATGGGCATTAGACCCAGTGACCCAAATACCCAGGAACCCAAGTAATTATGTGCAACCTCCTAGTATCGGCTGAATTATTCCTTAGGAGAAGTTCGCTTGGTGATCCAGCGTTAAAGGAAGGAGAATCAGAGAGGGCAAAGGGATCTTCTGCCTTCCCATGAAGGCACATACACCCCCACTTCCATACATAATTGGTTTCTGAAAATGTGACTAACGTCGAAAGTAAAAAGTCAAACAAAAAATTTATACTGTCAACAGGGCACATTTGTTCCTAGGGAATAAAAAGGGTATATCAGTTGCAATTACACCTGCATTTTTGGACACAATCTTTGATGATATAGTTCCTGCTTTTCCTACTATATCCCCAATCTGATTATTTTTCTTCACTAATCAAAAAATATGCATAAGGGGGTGCCTGGCTGGCTCAGCCAGTGGAACATGTGACTCTTGCTCTCAGGGTCATGAGTTCAAGCCCCACAATAGGCCTAGAGCTTACTTTAAAAAAAAAATGCTTGGGGCGCCTGGGTGGCTCAGTTGGTTGAGCATCCAACTCTTGATTTCAGCCCAGGTCATGATCTCAGGGTTGTGAAATGGAGACCCACATCAGGCTCTATGCTAGGTGAGGAGTCTGCTTGGGATTCTCTCCCTCCCTTTCCTTCTGCCCCTCTGCCCTCCTGTGCTCACGTGCATGGGTGCTCTCTCTCTCAAATAAATAAATAAATCTTTTTTTTTAAGATTTTATTTATTTATTTGACAGAGAGAGACAGCGAGAGAGGGAACACAGGCAGGGGGAGTGGGAGAGGGAGAAGCAGACTCCCCACTGAGCAGGGAGCCCGATGTGGGGCTCAATCCCAGGACCCCGGGATCATGACCTGAGCCGAAGGCAGACGCTTAACAACTGAGCCACCCAGGCGCCCCATGTAGGTGGGGGGAGGGGCAGAGGGAGAGAATCTTCAAGCAGACTCCCCGCTGAGTGCAGAGCCCTATCCCACGACCTGTGAGATCATGATCTGATCCAAAAACCAAGAGTTGGTCACCCAACCAACTGAGCCACCCAAATGCCCCAAATTCCAGAATATTTTTGTCCCCCCAAAAAGAAACCCCATAACCATTAGCAGTCACTTCCCACCCCAGCTGCCCAATCCCTTAGCTATTGGTAACCACTGATCTCTATGGATTTGTCTTTTCTGGATATTTCCCATGAATGGAATCATGCTTATGTGGACTTTCATGTCTGGCTTTCACTTAGCATAATATTTTCAAGATTCATCTGTACTGTAGCATGTGTCAGTCCTTTATTCCTTTTTATTGCAGAATAATAATGTATCTGGAAACACTATGTTTTGTTTATCCGTTCATCATTTGAAAGACGTTAAAGTTGTTTCCACCTTTCAGCTATTATGAATAATGCTGCATGAGCAATCAGGTACAAGTTTTTGTGTGGACCTATGTTTTCATCTCTCTTGGGTAGCTACCTAAGAGTAGAATGGCTGGGTCATATGTAAGTTTACCTTTAACCCTTTGAGGAACTGCTAAACTGTGGGTTTTTTTTTTTTTTATGTTATGTTAGTCACCATACAGAACCTCATTAGTATTTGATGTAGTGCTCCATGTAGTGTTGCATATAACACCCAGTGCTCCATGCAATACGTGCCCTCCTTAATACCCATCACCGGGCTAACCCATCCCCCACCCCCCTCCCCTCTGAAACCCTCAGTTTGTTTCCCGGAGTCCATAGTCTTTCATGGTTCATCTCCCCCTCCGATTTCCCCCACTTCATTTTTCCCTTCCTTCTCCTAATGTCCTCCATGCTATTCCTTATGTTCCATAAATAAGTGAAACCACATGATAATTGACTTTCTCTACTTGACTTATTTCACTTAGCATAATCTCCTCTGGTTCCATCCATGTTGATGTAAAAGTTGGGTATTTTTCCTTTCTGATGGCTGAGTAATATTCCATTATATATATGAACCACATCTTCTTTATCCATTCATCTGTTGAAGGGCATCTCAGCTCTTTCCACAGTTTGGCTATTGTGGACATTGCTGCTATGAACATTGGGGTGCATGTGGCCCTTCTTTTCACTACATCTGTATCTTTGGTGTAAATACCCAGGAGTGCAATTGCTGGGTCATAGGGTATCTCTATTTTCAACTTTTTGAGGAACCTCCATACTATTTTCCAGAGTGGCTGTACCAACTTGCATTCCCACCAACAGTGTAAGAAGGTTCCCCTTTCTCCACAACCTCTCCAAGATTTGTTGTTTCTTGCCTTGTTCAATAAATGGTGCTGGGAAAATTGGATAGCTATATACAGAAGAATGAAACAACCATTCGCTTACACCATACACAAAGATAAACTCTAAATAGACGAAAGACCTCAATGTGAGACAGGAATCCATCAAAGTCCTAGAGGAGAACATAGGCAGTAACCTATTCGACATCAGCCACAGCAACTTCTTTCAAGACAGATCTCCAAAGGCAAGGGAAACAAAAGTGAAAATTAACTTTTGGGACTTCATCAAGATAAAAAGCTTCTGCACAGCAAAGGAAACAGTGAACAAAACAAAGAAGCAACCCACAGAATGGGAGAAGATATTTGCAAATGACACTACAGATAAAGGGCTGATATCCAAGATCTATAAAGACTTCCCAAACTCAACACCCAAAAAACAAATAATCAGGTCAAAAAATGGACAGAAGACATGAACAGACACTTCTCCAAAGAAGACATACAAATGGCTAACAGACACATGAAAAAATGTTCATCATCATTAGCCATCAGGAAATTCAAATCAAAACCACATTGAGATACCACCTTACACCAGTTAGAATGGTAAACTGTTTTTCCAAGATGGATGCACCATTTTCGCATTCCTACCAGTGGTACGCAGGTTTCAACTTCTCCACATCCTCAGCAATACTTGCTATTATCTGTCTTATGTACTGTAGCTATCCTAGTAGGTGTGAAGTAATATCTCATTGTGATTTTGGTTTACATTTCCCTAATGATTAGTGATGTTGAGCACCTTTTCATGTGCTTTTTGGCCATCTGTATATCTTCTTTGGAGAAATGCCTATTCAAAATCTCCACCCCTTTCCACCAGCTTTCCATGCCACCATAATGGTGCACGTGAATGTCCTGGCAGATGCCCTCAAGAGGATTAACAATTCCAAAAAAAGGGGCAAACACCAGGTTCTTATTAGGCCATTCACCAAGGTCATCATCCCGTTTCTAACTGTGATGATGAAGCATGGTTACATTGGTGAATTAGAAATCATTAATGATCAGGGCACCTGGGCGGCTCAGTCGTTAAGCATCTGCCTTCGGCTCAGGTCATGATCTCAGGGTCGAGCTGGGATCGGGCTTCCTGTTCAGCGGGAAGCCTGCTTCTCCCTCTCCCACTTCCCCTGCTTGTGTTCCCTCTCTCACTGTGTCTCTCTCTGTCAAATAAATAAATAAAATCTTTAAAAAAAAAATCATTGACGATCACAGAGCTGGGAAAACTGTGAACCGCTCAGACAGGTTAAACAAGTGTGGAGCAATCAGCCCCAGATTTGATGTACAACTCAAAGATCTAGAAAAATGGCAGAATAATCTGCTCCTGACCTGCCAGTTTGGTTTCATTGTACCAACAACCTCAGCTGGCATCATGGACCATGAAGAAGCAAGACGGAAGCACACAGGAAGGAAAATCCTGGGATTTTAGGGATATAATACATACGTGCAAATAAACGCTTTAGTGGACTCTGGTCCTTAAAAATAAACAAACAAACAAACAAACCAAAACCCCTTTATCCACTTTTTAATTGGTTTATTTGTCTTTTTTATCCTTGAATTATAGGAGTTCATTATATATTCTGAATACAAGTCCCTTATCTTTGCAAACATTTTCTCCCATTCTGTCAGTTGTCTCTTCACTTTCTTGATACATACTTCTTATCACTACTATTGGTACTTTCATTTTTCCATTCACAGAATTTTTTAAGATGGGGTTAAGATGCAATAAAATACCTCTGAAACAAATAATACATTATATGTTAAAAAAGAAAAATAAGATAGTAGGAAGGGAAAAATGAAGGGGGGGAAATCGGAAGGGGAGATGAACCATTAGAAACTATGGACTCTGAGAAACAAACTGAGGGTTCTAGAGGGGAGGGGGTGGGGGGATGGGTTAGTCTGGTGATGGGTATTAAATAGGGCACGTATTGAATGGAGCACTGGGTGTTATATTCAAACAATGAATCATGGAACACTACCTCTAAAACTAATGATGTAATGTATGGTGATTAACATAGCATAATAAAATAAAATTTTTAAAAAAAGATGCAGTAAAACAATGAAGTACTTTCCCAATCATTGCTGCGCTGATGGATATGGAGACTGCCTGTGCGGAAACTGAGCGACTTGCCATCCTGCAAGATGATGTCTCCTTCCCTAACATGCAGAAATCTGAACTTGGGTACAATGGGAAGCTTAGGGGTGTCAGCATGCAATGGATGAACATTTACTGTGTGCGAGACACTGTGCCAAGTGCTTTACAATATCACATATGATCCTCACAATCGCCCCATCAGAGAAGTACTTTCATCAACCCATTTTACAGACGAAGAAAACGGAGACTCACCTAGTTCATGTATGTTGTCCACGGTCCTACAGCCAGTGAAGTGGCAGAGCTGGAATTCCAGCCGGGGCCTTTGCTCTCACCCACTGCGCCAATAGCTACCACTGGCCAACAGCAATGCCTATCAAGTGCCAGGCTGCAGACCAGAGCCAGAGCCAGGGCCAGCTTTCATAGATCCTCAGCGAGATGAGGAAGACAAGGACAATGTTGCGGGGTTTTCATAAAGCTACATCTATTCCATTTAAATGCCTGTCCTTGGGGCCCCTGGGTGGCTCAGTCCGTTAAGCATCTGCCTTCGGCTCGGGGCATGATCCCAGGGTCCTGGGATGGAGCCCAGTGTCAGGCACCCAGCTCAGCGGGGAGTCTGCTTCTCCCTCTCCCTCTGCCACTGCCCCTGCTTGTGCTCGCTCTCTCTGTCAAATAAATAAACAAAATATTTTTTTAAAAAAATAAAGTGATTTATTGAAAAAATGCTTACTGAGTCCTACTCTTGTTAGCCACCAGAATTGGAGAATTAGTGTTAGATGCACTGGAGCTACAACAAACAGGACAGACATGCTCCTCGCCTTCTTGGAGCTTATATTGAAATGGGGACAATTGCACATTGTGATGAGTGCTAATAAGAAAAGACACTGAATGGAGAATAGCAATGGACAATGGGGGAAAAATCCTTTTAATCAGGGAAGACTCTCTGCAGAGGTGACATTTAAATTAGGACTTAAAGGGGGCACTTTAGTGGCTCCGTCGGTTAAGCATCTGACTCTTGATTTTAGCTCTGGTCATGATCTCAGGGTTATGAGATCGAGCCCTGCATCAGGCTCCGCACTGAGCCTGCTTAAAATTCCCTCTTTCTCTCTCTCTCTCTTTCCCTCTGTCCCTCCCCCATCTCTCTCCCTCTCTCTAAAAAAAAAAAGATAAACTAAGACTTGAAGGATGGAGCCTGCTGTGGGTGGGGAGGAGCAGGCAGAACAGCATTCCAGGTGGAGGGAACTGCAAACGCAAAGACCTCCGGGCAGGGAGGAGTGTGGCTTATTTGAGGAACTTAAGGCAGAATAACAGAGCTGAGGCATGGGAACAGAGCCGAGAGATGGCAGCAGGCACTGTCAGAATGCACTGGAAACCTGGTGAGGGGCCTTAAGAAGGGTGGAGCATGGTCTGGTTTGTATGGAGGCCACATCAGGAAAGAGTGGTTTAGGGACCAGCTCAGAGGCCAGTGATACACTGCAGGCACAAGATGATGGGGGCCTGGGCTGGCGCTGCTGCTGGCCATAGGGCATGAAGCAAAGGGGACCGAATCTAAATATCCATTGGAAGGAGAAGAAGGTGCCTTGATGATGGGTGGGCTTTGAGTGGGGTGAAAGCAAGGGAGAAACAAGGGGGTACAGGCGGCACAGTTAATGGATTCGGGTATCAGAGAAGTTTCTAACTTAAAGATCTGGGTCTGCGATGCCTCTGGAGCATCCAAGCAAAGAACTGAATGCTGCTTTCCGCAGCTCAGAGGAGAGGCCTCAGCTAGAACTGTAAAGTTGGGGGTAATCTACCCGCAATTTTAAGTATCTGGAGGTAGATTTGGGCATGGAAAAGAATGTTACAATTACAGACTCAAGTTGCCCATTATAAAACCTAGCTTTTGTTAAAGGCTTTATGTTCAATTTACAAATCTTGTTATTACATTATAAATCTAGTGATTTTTCATGTAAAGATAAGAACAATCACTTTCACTTGGTCGTTGATTACTGTTGGAATTAATTCTTAAGTTTAGTACATTCAGTCCTCCTTAAACATTTAACAGACTTACAGCTTTAATTAATCAAATTTCCTTAGACATTTCAGACTACAAATTTAATATGCCTGATTTTCTCACTTTAAATGCCCAACAGGGCAGACTTACAAATCTAAAAAGCAAGATCTTTCTAAGCACTTAAGCAGCTGTTGTAAATTACCTGAAGTTATAAATGTAGCAAAGCAGATTCTCTTGGCCATTTCAAAGAATCTCAAATCCTACACAAAGCAAAGCAAGGATCACAGAAGCTCCTCTCGGTATTCTTCATTATCTGAATATTTATATTTCCTTTCTGGAAATAATGAATATTATACAGATTTACTCCCCCAGCAAAGGAATCAGAATTTTTTTTCCAAATATTGCTATTTGGAACTGAACTACATAATAACATGGGGGGAGAACTTATGATCAAATATTCCTGGAAGAAAGACTATAGGATTGTGTATAAAGGGCAGTTAAAAGCATATGCCCCCCCCCTCAAAAAATTACACAGAGGCTGGGGTTATTAGTCTGGGTCCAATTAGAAGAGAAACCACACAGCAATTTGAACGGAGGAAAATTAATATGAAGAGTTATTAATTATAACAGGGGACTGTAGTAAAAGAGTAAAGAGAACTCTAAAGAATACAGGAATAGCAGATAAGGGGCAGCCAATACCCCCAAGGCTGAGATAGAGCACCCAAGGAAAAGGCATCCATCCTCCTCCCCTGCTCTAGGGGCAATGCCAGGGGAAGCTGGAGCTAAGGAAGCTGTGTGTATTGTAGTCGCCTGGCACTGGATACAAGTGGTGTTTTGAAAAAAAATATCTAAGGGCAATAAATGTATGTGGGAAATGTAGAGCTCTCATCCATACCAGTCAACTTTGGAACCTACATCACACACTGACTTGTACAGATACCCAGCTGTTTTTTGCTTATGTATCTGAGCTCCCCTACTAGAAGATATTCTCTTTTAGGACAAAGGTTATGTTTTATCCTTCTCCTGTGGCCAACCCTGAAATGAATGTACATAATATGCTCAATAATTTATCCTGAATATATGAACTCTGAATGAGGAATTCTATTAAACTGTGCCTTTTCTTCCATTTATTTTCATTCTATTTTGCCTACTATAAAAGCAATAAATGCTTATTGGGGAAAATGAAAGGAGACCAAAAGGAGAAAAATATCAGCCATAGTTCCAACTACCCAGGAATAATTACTATTAGTACTTTAGTGTATATTTTATGCACAAATAGTTGCTTTTTCCTTTGTTTAACTTAGATGTACACACATCATATCCCATATGCAATTTTATATCCTGCATTTTTAACTTAACATGAATAGAGCACTTCTCCAACTCATCATCAATTCTTTGTTGAAGAGCCAATGATGAATATTATATATAGAAAAAATTTACATTGATGTTGAAACTACCTTAAATGTGGAAAACATCACAAAATATCTCATTCTGAAGATGTTTACTTAACCACTTCTCTGGTGGAACTTGAGGTTCTTTTTCTATTATAAATAATCCTACAATGAACATCATTGTTTAATATTTTCTCTGGTAGGCCAATTTCCTGAAATGGCTGTCCCACATGTGAAATTACTAGGCTAGAGGGTACAAATACGTTTAAGGTCACTGAAGAAAATTTAAGATCACAGGGCATCTTCTTCTAAACATGGGAACTGGTAGCTTTCCCTTTTTCATCGGACACAAACCAGAAGCCTCTTCAATGCCAAGCCAGCTAGTACTACCAAAATAGGTACACGTGCACACCTAACATTCCCCCCCCCTGCGCCCCCTCCCCACCCCACCCTACCCCCAAGCCCCTACCCCCGTCAATGCTACCCATCCCTAAATGACTGACTGCATGACAGAATGACCCTGGGCTAGTCCCTACGGGCCAAAGGCCCTCATTTATCACCAAGCTACCCAGCGGTGGCCTGACTAGGGGTGCCAGACTAGAAGATTTCCCTAAGGCCTTTCTAGATGTGTGTGTGTGATGCCGTGGCGCCGAACCCCAAGCTCAGGGAGTTGGTAGGGCACGGTCACCTCGCAGATAGACCGGGAGGCTTAAAGCAACAGAAGCTACAGCTTACAGAGATCCAGGGAGGGCTCAAGACACGCAAGCCCTTCCCCATGCCGAGTTTGGCCCTTGATCCTCCACCCCCAACCTTTTCTCCGCGTCCTCCGCAGCCTCTCCTCTTCCCCGCGGTTCACCGAGTCCACCCTCCAGACCTTATACTGACTTCCGATTCTTCCCAGCCGAGGGGTCACCCAAGCCCCCAAGGGTCTTCTTCCTCCCTCTCCTTCTCTT